GGGCGGGCACCGGGGAAGGCGCCGAGCCGAGGGGCCGAACCGAGCCAAGCCGGGCGGGGAGCGGCAAGGGCCGTCGCGTTTCGGTTGGGCTTGAGGTTTCTGGTTAACTGTCGGCTTTGTTACGTACCTGTGAGGTTACCAGGTTGGTCGGGGTAGCTTCAGCCGTATCAACAGAAATGCTGTACCGGAAGAGCGGCGTAATTAGAGGATTTTTACGTAATAACTGTGATAAATATTGTTCTCTTTGACAATGGTGATCTGATACTCCTTATGACTTGTAACAGGCCACTTTGAAAGCAGACTGTGTAAACAAACCGTTTGTTCAGAGGTGCCACGATCTCGAGACGGTGATTGAGGAGTTTCCTGCTAAGGTGAGCAGTCGCTGCCCACCATGCTTCAGGGGAATTTGCTTTTTTCATATTGCTCATTTTTTCGTTCCTATTTCTCTTATCAAGAGTTTTGAGGACCTAGGTGAAACAGTGGGAATGCAGTATTTCCCAAGAGCTATATACCTTTTCTAGTTAATAAAAGTTCATTTCAGTAGACTGCACTTTATTAATAGCTTTTGGCCCCAGTTTATAAGGTAAACTAATTCTTAAAATGTGACAAATTATTGCACGTGATGCTTATGAGTATCGTTGCGACTTTAGTAGGAAGTCTACTAAATTCAGAAACCAGGACAGGTTTCCTGTAATTGCAGTACTATAACACATTCTTCCGAATGGAAGCTCTGCCCAGTGATAATCTGGAAACAGTTATAAATAGCTGGCAGACAGTATTGTTATGCATTCTAGTGTGTGCAGTAGAGGTTGTCCAAGTGAGGAATTGTACATTTTAACTATTTGTGTCTGTTTCCCCCTAAAGGAACTACATGGCATCTTCCCATGGCTGGTGGAGAGCATTTTTGGTAGCCTGGATGGCATCATTGTAGGCTGGAATCTTCGCTGTTTGCAAGGAAGAACAAATCCTACTGAATATTCTGTTGCTTTGGCTTTCCTGGATCCCAGGTAAACTGAATCATTTCAGCACAGATTAAAAAACATATGGTGAACAAATAACCAGTGTTTGACCTTCTTTCATTGTGCAAATGTAAGCTCACTAAAGTGAGACAGGAGAGGGTACTTACCATGGATTTTCTTTCTGATGCTTGTTTGCAGTGGCCCAATGATGAAGCTGGTTTACAAGCTCCAAGCAGAGGAGTACAGATATGATTTTCCAGTCTCATCTCTTCCAGTGAGTAACTGAAAAATTTGTAGGAAAGCAATATATTTGTTGTTGCAGCTACTGGAACTCTGCACGCATTTTATATGTATGGTTCAATACAGGCCAAGGTATAGCCTCAGTGCTCCAGGTTTAGAGCATACCTTTTTCTTTAAACAGTTGCTAGAGGAGGAGAGTTCCCAGCTATGAACTTTGTAGGAGGTGGTGTGGTTGTGGTCAGTAGCTGGATAATTGTGCTGTCCAGCCATGAAAACTGCACTGTGATTCTTACCTTGTCCCCAGAGCAAGTTGTGTGCTTTATCTTGGTTAAACAGTAATTGCAGAATTGAAAATAGTTTTCCAGGCTTATCACACAGCAGTGCCTTCCCTGGCTGTGCTGTGTGCTCATGTGTTTGAAGACTTAACTGCTATCCTGCATATGAAGTATGACATTTCAAACAAAAAATGTTTATCTGCAGAGTTGTTTCACTGTTTATTCCATTGCTACCAGCTGCCTGCTACCTAGAAATTGATTCAGATGATGCTATAGTCTTTAACAAGAGGAAACATCATTTAAGTTTATAGTAGTTGCTGGTCCTTGGCTCAGTTGCCTTAACAAAACCATCAGCCATCAGGCAAACACCAGTCGTCTTCTCCCACTCCAGCTGGAAAAGTCTTAGTGAAGGTTCTTTTAATTATACTGAATACTCATTTTCAATGAGCAAGTTGGCAGTTATCTGCTAAAAATATGTATATACACAAGGAACTAGTGTAATGCAGTAAAATCCCACTGAGTTGAATGTAGAGTCCGTCCCAGAATGCTGGTATGCAGCAGGACTTCACTGAAAGCATACTCTGCAATTGTGCTGAGTAGCCAAACTAACATTTCATTACTCTGTCTTTCAGGGCCCTGTGAAGGCTTCAATACAAGAGCAAGTCCTACCAGAATGCTCTTTATACCACAACAAAGTCCAGTTTCCTTCATCCGGTGGTTTAGGTTTGAACTTAGCTCTTAGTATCCTTTTAACAATTGGATACTTAATTCCTTTTAAATATCTAAAACTGAGATATTACAAGCATTTCTGCTGTATATTTATTATGTGTCTATGGTAAATCACAGTTGTGCCAAAGAGTTTGGGCTGATTAGAAATGTTTGAATTCCAGTGAAAGATAAATTTGGCCTCTTCTTATAAACCCTTGTGGGGGAATTTCTGGCCTTATTCAGCCAACAGAATTCCCAGTGATTTCAGTAGAGCCTGTATTTCACAATTTTTGTTTTCGTAACTACTCATAGTTTATGTAATATGATAGAAAAAGGGCATGTTAACTTTGCAGCTAGCGTACTAGTTGGAAGCAGACTAGATTCTGCTGCACTGGTTTCAGTTTGAGATAGTCACATGTGCTAAGAGTAATGCAAACACACCTTGTCACATAGAGAAGACCTCCATTACTAATGTTTGAGTCAGCTGGAAAGCAAGAAGGTAAAGCTGAATTTGCTGTTAAGCTCTAGCAAGTTAATTTAGCATTGATAAAATAAAAAATTAATGTCTAGTCAGCATCCTCAGATATCTAAAGTTGTACCTGTTTTTATTACCTGATCCTTGACTGTGATCTTCCAGATCCATTTGAATATTACATGTTTTACTTTGCAATTAGTTTGATTACACAGAAGGTAAGTACCTTTCACAATTTTTCCCTTGAAATAATATTCTTTCTTCACAGTGCTTTAAGAGCCTGCTGAGATGCTGTCCAGCTAAATCAGCAGCAGTTTTACCTGTACTTTCAGAATTTGTTACTACTTTGGTTGAGTTGATGATGCAAGACTGGATAATAAACAAAATACCCACCTTAGATATACCAGTGAGCAGTCTGTCCAACAACATGCTAACACAGAGCAGGCAGTGGATTCCAAATGGGTTCCCTACCCCTCTACCCAATAACACTCTTTATATACAGTCATAACCACAGCTTTGTTCTATGGTGTCTGGTTATTTGGTTCCTCTTCCTGTTGTTACCCGTGCTATCTAACATTGCACTCTACTTGGCTACATTCACTACTACAGCAACAGTTCTCTTACAGTTAGTTAGTTTACCTTTGCTCCAAAGTGTCTTTGTTGTCAAGTCACTCCTTAAAACCACTGGACTTCTGCTTGTTTATACTAAATGGGTTCAGCTGTGTAGCAGACACTCCCTAGCAGTGGCTTAAAGTGACAGTATGTAACTCCAGGTATATCCTGTGCATCTCTTTCAGAACTCACCCATCACCCACCACATCAGCCCTTCCAACAGTGCTTATTTCACCTTGGTGGACACATACCTGAAGTGTTTCTTACCCACAGAAGGAAGTGTCCTTCCTCTACCTTCTTCAAATCCTGGGGGAGCCATCCCTTCCCCGACTCCCAGGTAAGGACTGCAGTGCCAGAGACAAATTGCGGGAACAGTGCTTACAAAATACATCTTGGTGGAACAAAATCTCTAACAAGTAGAAAACACCATTGCTCTTTATGATCTGTATATACTTACTATATAATTGCAAAAAATAAATAGATTTACATTCACTTAGTTTTACCACAAATGGTTCATTTGAAAGTCTGAAAGGTAGCTATTATTTGAGCAGAAAAGGCATGTACAGGCAGCAAAAATTCATCAGTTCAACAACTCCAGTTGTGTTTTGTGCCCTGCAACTGGAGTAGGACAGATATGACTGTACTTGATAATAGTTTTTACTGTCTTCAGATAGATATGGTATGTGATAACCACTGTCACGAGGAAACTTGCGTCTTTAGTTGATGCTGTTATAAAGCCAGCCAACTTGGCAGTTGGTCATTTTGTTGCAGTTCTGAGGTTGCCATCCTTAAATGTTTAATGCTCTCATTACCTGTTTTGTGGTTCTTTGAAATTTAAAAAAACAAGATACATATTAGTAATCAGATCCTATAAGTGACTGCCTTTCAAGTGAGTTTTTGCATGGTAATAGATCAAGCTATTTAGCCACAACTGGAAGAAAGAGGATGAAAGATTATTACCACTCACTGAAGTTCTATATGTCTGTGTGATAATGGCATAAAAACAAATTCACAAAGGTGAAGTGAGAATTCTCCAATACAAGCACCCAGTCTTTTGTTCTTTGTAATGGCTACGTGTGTGTAAGTTCGTGTTTTCAAAATGGTTTTGCTGCTCGAATTTATAAAATGTTAACCAATTTTAGCAGTTTTATACAAATGTAGAAACAGCCATTATATTTTAGATAACTGCATTTTAAATACATTTCAAATATTAATTTCCATGGTCTGTTGAGCCTTAGCATATACCTGGTAAAATACAGATCAGGTGAATTATGAATATGGAAGGCAGAGTGAAAGAAAACAAACCAAAGGAGAAAGTGAAAAACCATGTGTCATTGAGCTTAACATCAGGTCTGTGTAAAGCTGGTTCAGTGCAGTATGAATAGTGATATTTGTTTACAGTTACAGTTAATGGGACTAGTAATTATAACACATCACAGAAGTTTGAACTGTATATAATCAACTATGCAGTTTTACTTAAAGACTATTTTGCAGCTTCTAAACTGATGATGAAAAGCAACGATCTGTTTCCTTGTACTGAGGCTTACTGACTTCAGTATGTCCTTTCATTTGTTTTTAAAGGTCTCCAGCAGTGCCTTTCACTTCCTACGGCATGCATCACACCAGCTTGCTGAAACGGCACGTTGCCCATCAGCCTTCTGTGAATGCTGACCCAGCTTCCCAGGAGATCTGGAGATCAGAAACACTGCTTCAGGTCAGTTGGATTTAAGGAAGAAAACACCTTGCAACATTTCTTGCTGCTAATTGAGGAATCTCTTCTTTTTAAACCAGAGATGCCATTTTAAACAGTTACACCATTTTGCTTTAGCATGTTTTTGCAATTGAGCAGTACAGTTAGTGAAACAAAGAACCACTGTGTAACTGTTAAGTTGTAATTTAGAAAGACACTTAGTATCTTTTTTTTTTTTGGCTGCTTATCTAGCAACTGATGTCAAACATTTGAGTAATTTTTTCCAGAAAAGTTTCTAAACATGATTTTCTTTTTTTTTCCTTGAATCTTGCATAAATTCTATGCTCTAAGCAAAGGTTAATCACAGAGAAATTGATTCTGTTCACCATCAAGGGAAAGGAAAGGGGAATCTGGAC